AGCAAATCCACCAAAAAGTCGAAGGAATTCATCAATGGAGGGATATAAATAAAACCTAATTGCTACTTACCTTAGGTTGAAGACAATGGAGGGAGTTAGCTTCAATGGAGGTGAGAAAGCTCGCAACACTTAGCTTCAATGGAGGAACGACGAAGAGGGGAGATGAGTTGAATGAAGCAGCGTGCTAAGGAGAAGAGAGGAGGGGAAATTGTCTTCAATGGAGGTGAAAAACCTCGCACCAGGCCACTTCAATGGAGGAACAAAGAGGGGAGCAAGTTGAATGAAGAAGGAGGAGGGAAAACGCAGAAGGAGGGAAAATGGAGGCCACTTGCGTTTTTTTTTTTGCAATTGAATGAAGAAGATGAACAGTGGAAGAGTAGGGAAAACCCGGGTTTTTTTTTTAAACTTTGCAACGGTTAACCGTTGCCAACCCTTTACCTTTTATTTTTTATTTTTTATTTTTTAAAAAAACGCAGTTGGCAACGGTTAACCGTTGCCAATGTTAATCGTTTTTTTTTTTTATAAAAAAATTGGCAACGGTTAACCGTTGCCAACTCTGATATTTAAAATGGCGCTCACTTAAGTTGGCAACGGTTTTCATGAACCGTTTCCATAGGGGGGTTGCCTATTTCTTTTATTCTACTAGTGTAGAGGCCTTATGCCATGGAATGACTTCCTTAGAGAAAGTGAACAGAGAGGAAAAGTAAACCTGGACATGGGATTGAAGGAGAAGAGAATCAAATAGTATTCCCACTAGGTCATTTAGTGAAGTAATTCTATTTATGGATCTTCTTAGAATGACTAAAAGGTGGAAGAACCTGGTATTTTTATCTCCCCCTTGAAGCCAACTCTCCCTACCTCTGGTCTAAAATAGAAGTATGATCCTGAGATAAAGAATCCTCAAGGTCCCATAAGAACTTGTTCTGAGCTTGGCTATCCCTCTTAATCTTGATACCCTTGATCTTAGTAATAAGCCTTTTCTTCTTCTAGAGGTTCTTAGAGAAGTCCTTGGCCAAGATCTTTCCTAGCAAAGCCTTGGATATCCAGATGCTTTATCCGAGTTGGAATTTTGATCAAGACCATCACTGGAGCTTGGATGTCAAAGTAGAGTTTGAAAAGAGTTGAGATCGACAAATAGATCTGTCTCAATTGAGGCAAGATGGGTACGTGATCCGGCAAGAACAAGAAGTATCCCATGAGAAAGAGTTCTTGAGAAGATTATAGAAGAGTTGCCATGAATTGTTCCACCTACTCAGCTGTTGGAGCAGAGAAACCGCACAGATCTTTAATGGTGGGGAGTCAAGCTAGATGAACCTCATCCTTGCTTGGTTTTTTAATGAATATGTCATCGAAGGATTATTTTGCTCGAGAATCAAGGGTTCTACTTTGATGCGCCTATTCGGCACCTGCTTGAAGAAGATTCATTCGTCCGGGTCCACTTTCGCCCAATTCAGGATCAACTTCTCCCAGAAGTATAAGATTAAGGGGAAGGTCCCTTCACAGTGGTTTTGATCCCAGACGGAGGATCGAAAGGTGGGTGTTGAAACAGATCGATCTAGTGTAGCTGAGCAAAGAGAGAGTTCATGGTCTAAGCTATTTACTGGTATATGTGGATGAGCTTGGAAGAGGATGCAAAAAGAGGTGAGCTTGGCTCCATGGTAAGGTTTGTGTTTGAGAAAAGGAGGCGAAAAATTGGATAGAAAGAGGCGAGATCAGATTAGAGAATTAGAGATGGAAATGAAGGTGAATGGGCGGCGACACATCATCTGTGTCACGAGTGTGGGAGACAGAACAAGAAAGTTCTTTCAAAGAGAATGCACAGGAGGCTTTTAGGGTTTTAGTTTCGTGAAACCGATTTTGATGAAGGATTCCGACCACCAGCTTTTAGAGAATCCGTTCCAGCCATCTTACAAGAGGATGGAAGATGGCCAATACTTTTGCAATGATTGCAAAACAGGGGAAATTCATCCCAAATTAATTAGTTTAAGGAAAAATTGACCAATCCAAATTGCTTGTTTTTGAGGTTTTAAAATATCAACCAAGATTAACATTCTAGCCCCTTTACAGTTCTCTTTCCTATGCAAGGATCTAGCTTGAAAAACTTCCCAATAGAATTTCCTAGTTGCTTCAGGAAGTCAGGGACTATGAATTCCATAGGGAGTTCAAGCTAAGTAACCCAAACTTGAACAGAGGATATGGACGCCTCCGATGATATAAATCTCGGAATCCAAGGTTGGACAGACAAATAGATAGAGTTAATGAACTAAGGACCATCCCTAAGAATTTTCTATAAAGTCGAGGATGGAACCTTTACCACAAAGAAGCCCTTTCTTAGAGCAGAGATTGAAGTTAGTGGAGAAAGGTGCCACATAGATGATAATTTATGGAAAAGGAAGTCATTGGCCACTGACTTTCTAATGGGTTTTAATGATCATCGCAGAGAACCACAGGGCTACCAAGGTGGCAAAGGTTTCCAAGTGAAGTGGAAGGAAAGCTTGGTTGGAAGGATCAAAGTTGTCAGGGACAGAAACAGAACAGAAGGGAGGTGGAGGAGAAGGAGTAGAAAGGGAAGTGGATAGAAGGGCATCCTTGAAAGATGGAGGGGGAGGAGGGCGGAGGAGGAGGATTAGGGTAGGCTTCAAGGTCACTCTCTAGCACGCTCTCACTTTCTCTCATCTCTATTACTATCTAAGGACAATTGTTTACTCTCGTAGTAGGCCTCATTTTTATGTATTTTCGATTGCCAATAATACATGTTTCTATAAGAACTAAGTATAGGCCAATACAGGCTGAATTAACTTCATGTCTCAATTTTGTACCATCATCTCCGAATATTCAAATGTGTTTTAGGACCATTATGGAGTTAGCAATCTCAAGGATTATGGATGAGGTGGTACCTTAATGGATTAAAATCGTACTTATGAATTTCCTAAAAATTGTTAACAGCTCCCTATATTTCTCTTGTTCCTTTCATTATAATAGTCAACTAATATTTGGGACCGGACAATGACCCATGTCATCACACATGGCTAAAATTAATATACAATTTATGACTCAACTATCAATTCTTGGAACTAAAATTATTGTTTATATTGTCTTTCCTTAAATAATAATACTCCCTCCGTCCCATAATATTCCTTGCTTTCCTATTTTGGAGAGCCAAAATGTTTTTCCTGTTTCTGTTTTTGGATATTATGTAAAGACCATTATACCCTCATTTTTTTTAACTTTAATTATTTATTTTACTTCCTAAATTACCCTTGAATTTTCCACATGCCTTGTACTTTTTTCTACTTTCTCTCTCTAACTTTTGTTTAGAATTGTACTTTTCACCATTTTTGTACTTCATTCACTTTCTCTTCTCTAACTTTTGTCTATAATGGTACTTTTCACCTTTTTTATGTACTTTATCCACTTTTGCCTCCCATTTCTTAAATATCGTGAAAAAACACAAACAGGAACTATATATTGGGACGGAGGGAGTATATTGTAGTGATTATAAAAGAGCATAAAATATGCGTAGCTTGGTGGTAAGACATTGAGTGTTTGAATTGAATGTCACATGTTCAAATCTTGTACAAATAACGTTTTAGAAATAAATTGATGACATGCATGAAATGAAAATCAAAATGAGGATAGTAACACGTGTCACGTATAACTAAGTGTCAAAATTAATAAAGTAACACGTGTCACGTATACTAATTTAAGAACGTCTTTTAATACATAGTATAGATTCAAACTTCATATGATTGTCATCACATCCACACGTGCTAAGGTAGGCACACCTTCAATCGACGCCTACAAGGCTAGATCGTCCTAGCAAGACATGTCATTTATGATCACCTCTAATGAGAACCTTACATATGTCTTATAAAGAAAATCAATTTTTATAGATCATTTTCATTGACTAATGATTTTAGAATGGTACTTCATTAAAAATAAATCATGGTTCTTAAATTTCTTTTATATTTTTGTTTATGTCGAATTTTGTAAAAACGTTTAAATTTCTATCATTGCTATAGGTTGTGCCAATTTATGTTTACATAAGTATACACTAGTACTATTTACACGCGAACTGTGTGTGAATTAAATGTTAAGAGCATGTACAACTTATAATAGTTAATGTACATTTGCATTATGTACATAGGTTGCCTAATTTTTGGGTCAGGTGGTTTGTCGGGGAGGGTTTTATACTATTCAAGGCAGGAGGAAAATAGCGGTGGTTCGGGGAGTTGCGGCGCCGTCGCGGGGTTAGGGAGAGGTGCAGCGCTGGGGCGATGGGGAGGCTGGGCATGCCGGCGGTTTTGGGGAGGTGGCTCGGCTGGGGTTTGGTGGTCGGCAGAAAGTGGCTGGTTGGGTTAGAGGAGGTTTGTTTCTAATTTTTTTTTTTTGTTTTTTTTAAATAGTTAAATAATTTATTAAAAAAAGTAACCAACCAAATGCCGCAACGTGGCAAATTTAGCCTTAATGACTAACGGAGTTAACTGTCGTTAGTCATTAAAGGCATTTCGTGACATTTGTGTGAAACTTAAGTGTATATGGTGAATTTGAAAATTTTTATGGGCATATGGTGAATAAAAAAAATAACTTAGGGGTATTTGGTGAAAAATCCGTATTTTGTAATGTCTTTTCTTTTCTATAAAAATCTCGATAACCATCATCTCTAATTCATCTAAACTTACTAGTATTAATATTGATTTGAACCTTCTTTTTTCTTCTCTAAAATAAGAGGAAATAAGACGAATACTTTAGGGTCTGATATGTGATGAATAGAGTACATGTTTTGGCCTTTTGGGGTGCATCAAATAGTCATGTTCAAAGTTAAACTCATAATTCTAGGCTTTATAGGCACAGTAACTTGATCTGAAGTTTACATGATGGCCTGGCCCATATTTTCTGGTCCTTGGCCCAAATAAAAAATGAAAGAAAAATGCAGTTTCTAGTTTTCTACCCAGTCGAAACAATACAGTCTCGTCAACTCAAGGTTTACCGAGGTTCTTCTATTTCTCATTTTCTCTCTCCTACTTTCTCTTAAACCCTTCTTTTCAATCTTTATAAAATTCCAAAGTTTAATCTCAAATTATCTGTTAGTTGATTTGAATTTTTATGTAATTTGATTCAATTACACCTTAACTTCTGCGAAATTTCTTGTTGATTTCAGATTGAATTTCATTATTTTTTTTGGGTGAAATCACACAAAATTTGCAGAAAATCACAAAAATGCCGTCGTTGCAAACCTCATTACCTCCAGAACTCGCCAACAATGTCATCAGAGTTAGTATCTTTTCCTTCCTTTACCTTCAACTTTGATCAATGAATTGTTTTTTTTTTTGGAATTAAATTGGTAGTAGGAGATTTTAATTTCATTTGTTTGTTTGTGTATTTATAGCTTTACCGTGAATGCCTCCGACGAGCTAAATATATTGGCGCCAAGGTTCGTATGTCCTTCGCCTTGTTTCGCTGGTATTTCGATCTTTTGTTCATTGATGATCACTTGCTATCTGTTAGTTACAGGAGAAATGTTATATATTTACATGTATATGATGATCTTATAGATTATAAGTTTGGCTCAGTTCATTCCAAAATAAGGAAAATTGATAGTAAATTTGGAGATTAGGAAATGCAATGTTGCTGCTATACCGTCTTTTTTTAGGATGGAGGTGCAATAGAGGTTGTGTTTAGACATTGATTCGATGTTTGTATGATGAAGCTGAATCACGAAGCTTGTAAGGATTTTTATGTGGATATGGGAATTTAGATATCAAATATAAAATTTCCATTTAGTACTATGAAAAGGTAAAATCAGAGGGGGGTTAATGTTATTGTGAAGAATGTGAACCACGAAGGCCATATAACAATATATGGAACTCTGTATGCTTTACTGTGGTTACTAATTGTTCAAGAACCGAGTTTGAAGATGAAAAGAACTGCCTATCTCTAAAGTCTTGAACTTCTTTGGTAAATTACTTCTTAGATGAAATTCTTGGGACAACAAATTATATGGTTTAACTAGAGTTGATGTCATAGATTTAGTCTATTCCAAAGCATAGAGATGAAGGTATGCAATTTGATACAATGGCTGAATGGAATTTCAATAGGATGTGGCTCTTGTTACATTTGACTGTTGATTCTAATGCTGCTGAGGCACCCCTCTTCTTCAATGTCCCCAAAAAGATGGTTTCTATCATTGATCAGTACTACTGTAGCTCTTTGAAAGAATAAGGGGAAACAAGAGTGAATAGAGAAAGGGAGTTCTCTTGTTTTCCTTTTTGTTTTGGCCTAGAAAGGTGTTTGAGGTGATATGACATGGATGAATTATGTTGAAATGAAACATGAGTGAGCTCGGAATTCCAGATTAAGTAATTCTCTTTTCTTAAAAATATAAAAATAAAATTGTGAGCCAAAAGTCTCCTTAAATATGATCTTGCCCATCTTAGATAAGTTGAAACCAAAATTGGCCTATTTACATTCACTTGAAGCTTCTCTGATGAGTGATTGTATGAGGTTTGAGCTTATCTCTAATATAGTCTTAAGCAATCTGACTTTTGAGGCATTAGAGCAGTAGTTTAGCTTTGGTAAGAGATTTTTGTTAATTGTACAGACGTCAAGACTGGTGAGGGCAATTCATCTATAATTGCAATAATTTAGTGGATGTAAGAGCCACTGTTAAAAACATCTATGGTTTTGATAATTCTTGAGTTTGGCAACTTTATTCACAGACAAGAATATACCCTCCAGTTTTTGTGAACAAATCATGATAACAATTGCATGGCTATTAGGCCACTATTGTTTAGATTTAATTTTAATGGATTAATAAGTTCTCGCCATTTGACCTTCAGGCTACTCTTATATTCAATTGATCAGGTGTCGATGACCATTGTTATATAAATGTACGAGTATAAAGTAAAAAGTATATATGTTTCTTGACATATGTCTATTGATTTTGTCTTGAATATGCAGCAATATAACACAGAGCTGTTGGTTGACTTGGTGAGGCAGCAATTCAGAAGAAACATGCATGAGACAGATCCAGAGAAGATTCATAAGTTAAAGGATGAGTAAGCTTTAGTTCTAACCATTTATGCCAACAACAAAAAAACTTTTAGTATTTCATTTCACAATGTTCTTTAGCCCATTTTATCCTTGTTTATGGTTCTAAGAAGGATGATGTTTATGAGGACAAACAAATATAAATATATCAGTAGAATGGTCTTAGTATGACAATAAAATGAACTGAGTGAGTATTAGAGGTGCATATTGCTTCTCTTATTCCTTGTGATATTCCCTTAATCTACTTTTTTTAATACAATCAGGTTTTGGACATCTGATGATTTCAATCTGTTTGTATGCAGTGCGGCAAGAGGACTTATAAATCACATGCTGTATGAGTCAGAAAAACTATCTGGTCGTAAGTTCAGCAAAAGCTAAGCTTTTGACTTCATTGCATTGAAGATTATGGTCCATTTGTTGGTGTTGATGCTCTTTCCATTGAGTATGTTGTAATAACTGATTTTAGTACTGTTACGGTGCTGGCATTTTGGTGGTATAAAATACTTTGGAAAGGTATTGAGCTATTCCAATTGTATTGAACCATATTAGAAGAGATTAGTTGGTTGAACGACCTTTTAAGATTTTGCTATGATGTGCATCTAACTGGCCGTTATAGAAGTTGGAACATTTGATATATTTTGGTCCTTTTGGATCAAATCTTCGACATAAGAAATCTATATGTTCCAAATTTTGGTAGAATATTTTTCAAATGAGTAGTACAAAGTGATGTTACTGGTACGAGTGGTACCAAATTTAGGGTTCTGCCAGTTTCAACACAGTGGCATTCGAGGTGAGTAGTTTGAATATTTGTGCGCGTGAGCATGAAGATGAACATGGGAATGAACGTTAAAAAATTACTAGTATGTGATTTTTTGTATGATGTCTGCTTAAGTTATTTTACCAATGACTGCTGTATGATCAATCTTGAATCCTTGAAGCTATCTATATGTGATTTTGGACGTACATAGGATGGTTGGTTGATCTGGCTTGGCTTATTTACACCGGTCAGGGCGGTCACTGTAGTGAGCAAGCTAGAATATGTTTTATCCAAATTGTACTCCATATAACTTTGCCAAATATTGAGAAAGTTGATCAAAGATATGGGGAGAATTCTGCAGTATATATGGACAGAATTGCTCCATGCCAATCATTCTATCCTGCAATACCAGAGTTAGCATCTTGGCAAGATATTTCTGTTTTTCTTTGCATATTCACTCTCGTTGCAGCCAATGTTTGCGTGAAATGTGGTTACTAAAGGCAGAGATGCAGACAATATTTGATTCGAAAATTTGGATTGACGTCCACGTAAACTACTGTACTATCTGTTTTATAAATCAGGAACACAGATTTCTGCAGAATCAGAAATTACTGAGACCATAATATTTTCCATGCACTACTTCTAATCTAATACATCAAAAGTCTCATACACACACGACACCTTCGAATTTGCTACTGAACTGAAAGTAAAAAGGTGACTGAAGCTACTGTTTTCATTGATCTTGTTTATTCTCAGTTAATTTATTCACTGATCTTGTTTATCCTGTGGTGGTTGCATGTGACTGATCTTGACAGAACTTGATGGGGAGCGAGGTGAAGCACATAGCATATGGACCGTGGGGAGGTCAAAGTGGGTATAAATGGGATGATGGAATCTATTCCGGTGTAAGGCAAGTAGTGATCTCTACCAGTTCAGTTGGAAATTGGAATCCATTCCGTCCAGTTTGAGTATGATAAGAATGGTCGCGCAATTTGGTCTGACAAGCATGGTGGCAACAATGGTACTAGGACTGATCAGGTAATCATTCATATATGTCTACAGTTAACTACCTTCTGATTGAACCGAGCTTTCCTTTTTCTTTAATGGAGAAGTTATAAACCTTATAATGATCTGAGCCTGTTCTTAACTGTCTTGTGTCCAACTTCTGATGTTTTGAAACTAAAAACAAAATTAATTTTGTTCATTATATTATACAATCTGCTTGTATATTACAAGTATATGACTTGTATATTCTCAAAGTATAAAAATTGCTATGGTTGTGCAGATCAAGCTTGACTACCCTACTCAATATCTAGTCTCAATTAGCGGATTTTGTGGCTCTATTACGAAAGGTGGTCCAGTGATTGTCCGCTCACTTTCCTTGCAAACCAACAGGAAAAAATATGGACCTTTTGGTATTGAGCAAGGAGCTCCTTTATCACTGCCTGTTAATAATGAGATGTTAGTGGGTTTTCATGGATGGAGCAGTGAATACCTTGATTCAATCGGGGTTTACGTAAAATCTCAACCGCAAACAAATCTTTTGGAGACACATAGGGTATGGATAAGATTTTCATCTCTCTCTCTCTCTCTCTTTTTTATTTTTTTTATTTTTTCTTTTAATTTTATCCTGGTGATTTATTTTGTGTCAAGCTTAAACTCAAAATTGTAAGTGATTAACGTTTTGACAAATTCAACAATAGATGCTCCCTACTACTCATGTTAGAGTTCCTGGGATTAACAAGAAAGTCCAGTCACTTGGACCGTGGGGTGGTGATGGTGGAACAAACTTCGATGATGGAATTTATACAGGGGTTCGAGAAGTACATATAATGCGATCAGGAGGGCTGGTATCCATTAGAGTTTGTTATGATCAAAATGGGAAGGTGGTTTGGGGGAATAAGCATGGTGGATCTGGAGGACTCAAGCTTGACAAGGTTTGTATTTCTTACCTCTTTTGTTCTGTGTATTATTCTGCTATCTCAAACAGAATTTTGTTAATTTTTTTGGGCACTTTGCAGATTGTTTTCGACTATCCCTACGAAATCCTGACTCTTATAACAGGATTATATGGATCCACAATCCTGCGAGGACCAACAGTTGTCAAATCACTTACTTTCCACACCAACAAAAGGAGTTACGGGCCATTTGGAGATCCACAAGGGTTTTCGTTCTCCACAGGTTCGTTAGGTGCAATTGTTGGCTTTCATGGAAGAAATGGATATTTTGTGCATAGCCTTGGAGTCCATGTTGTCGAAAGCAAACCAGTCTATCCTCATTCTTATCCTGATTATGACATGCCTAACCATGTTCTTGAAAGAAAACCAGTCCTTGCTCAACCTTAAGCTGATCATTATGACATGGCTAAACATGTTCTTGAAAGAAAACCTGTCCTTCCTCAGCCTTATGCTGATCATTATGACATGCCTAAACATGTTCCTGATAGAAAACCAGTCCTTCCTCAGCCTTATGCTGATCATTATGACATGCCTAAACATGTTCTTGAAGAAAACCAGCCATCCATCCGCCTTATCCTGATCATTATGATATGCCTGGCGTAAAGCCTTCTGAGGTAATTAATGCAATGTGCATAATACTATTACTACTATAGCAGACTGCCAATGAAGTAGAAGAGAACTATTTCATTACTTTTCATTCTGTATAATTTGCAGGTAGTATGGGGAATGCCAAGACAACCAGCTCTCTATGATTCAGGTCAATCAGGGCCATGGGGAGGTGAAGGAGGTAAGTCTTGGGATGACGGAGTATATATTGGGGTCAAGAAAATTATTCTAAAAAGGGGAGATGCTATTTGCTCAATACAGATTCAGTATGATGAACACGGCCACTCTGTTTGGTCTGCTCCACACGGAATAGCCAACGACGCTTGCACCTACCATGTAATTGATTTTTTCTGGTCTACTTATTCAAGTATTCAACACTTCATATGTTTTGTTGTACTCTTCGTCTGATCATTAGTTTTCATTTTCGCACTATCTTAAGATTTTAATCTCTCATAATTATGGATATCAGGAAATGGCATTATTTTGCAAACATATCTATCACAACCCATTAAGCTGAATTTTTCTTTTCGGGCATCCCAACACAATATGTCAATATGTAATCCTACTTTATTGTGCACTGTCTTTTTAAGTTTAGGCACACAACTGTACCAATTTGCAGTTTTTTTTTTTTGTTTTGTGGTGTTCATCTATGAAATTTAGACATTGAAAGTGATTTGACCCTGACTCTCCATGCTGCAGATAAAATTTGATTACCCATACAAAGTACTTACAAGCATCAGTGGAAGCTATGATATTCTAGTCGGAGATATGTATAGAAGGGTAATAAGATCTCTCACCTTCCATACGAACAAAGCTAAATATGGACCCTACGGGAAACCCATAGGCACACACTTTTCTTCGAGTAATAAAGAAGGTAAAATAGTCGGCATCCATGGAAGGAGTGGCACTTTCTTGGATGCTATTGGAGTCCATATGCAGCACTGGGTGAGCGACGAACTGTCACATCAACCATATTCTCCTGAGAGAGGAGGCTTCACAAAAATCCTGAACAAAATGTACAAATGATGTGTGTATAATTATGCATGGGATCTTTGAACATATTGCAGTATGGAAACTGCTAGCTTGTATAATAGGTTTCAGATGATTGTTTGCTGTTTTTAATCAACTTTGTGTTATGCATGTTTGTGTATTGATCATCTGATTTGCATGTGTTCTTGTAAAGAGTCACCTGTATAATAAAACTTATAAGATCATGGTTTTGCAAAGGCTATTAGTGCATTTAATTCACATGGAATGCACATTATGCTTGCAATTTATCGTTTTCTAATCAGATGAGAAATTTGTGAGCATTGAATAGGTGCAAAAGCTATGAAAAGTTATGTTAATGTTACACTTTGTACCTTATAAGAAAGGATTAATTTTGACGACAAAGAAGTTCAAGATAAGTGCTAGAAAAAAGATTTAAGATCAGTAATCATTCTATTGGATCATACTTGCTTAACATCTTATTAGTTATTAGTTTGATAGTAAAAACTCAAATCATCAAAATATACAGAACCAAGAGGTTGGAGCCTAGGGCCTTTGCTTAATTATTTTTGCTCTGTTGAAGATTTGAAGTGGGTTATCTGGCTAAATTTTTAATTGGTTGGGTAAAACTGATACTCTGTATGATAAAAAATACGCCTAGTTACAAGAATAAAGCATACATGACCATTTTTCATACTCCCTCGTTAGGCCATTGTATTAAAAAATTGTAAAAGAAAGATAATTGGGTAAAATAGTTTATTGAAAAGTAATGACCATTTCTCATACTCCCTCGTTTTAGGCAATGTTTAGTTCACCCTTCACCTTATTTAAGAACCTTATAAAATACATTGTATTACTTATTTCAGATTTGATCAGGCAAAATAAATTCAAATTAGATTAGATCAGAGAAAATAAATTCAAATTATATAAACACAAGGGGAATTAAACATAATCTAAACTATCTACTCACAATAAATATCAATAACGTTTTACTAAAGATTATATTTTCTCAACTAAAACGACTTGAAATGAAATTAACTTTGTTCATAAGATCAGGGCCATGTACTAGTATATGAGATAATGAGATATTGTAATAAACAATTTTTTTTTTCCTTCCTATGGTAAATATGGAATTAAAAAAGATTTTTTTTGAAGACTGGAATTAAAAAAGATAGTGCCCCATCCCTCCAAACTAAGATAGAGTGGATTGGGTAGATGGTGGGGAAGGGAAATGGAGGCCGAAATTGGGTAGGGCCGGTGGCTGGGGCTGCCGGAATCTGGGTTTGGGATTTTCTTTTTTTAAAAAATTTTGTTTTTTTATTTATTATTTATTTATTTTAATAATTTTTTTTTTTTTTTTTTTTTTTACCAATCATATGATCAGTTGGGACCATTTAAAGCAAAAGAGATATAAAGGTCGGATTATTTAAAAATAATCGAAAGGTGATATTATTTTGGACGGATGAGTCAAAGCTCGGATTATTTCAGACAATTTTTTCAATATTTTATTATTCTCACTTTATTAAGTTGTATTTAGTGTATATATATAATTTAGCGTGTGTGTTCACCTAAGTTTTCAATTTCTAAACAATTAAAGTAGATACAAGTAAGCAACCCAAGCTATAGAAACTCCCGGTATTAGATAATTCAGGCTCATGAGTATTACTCCCCATGTTCTTATTAAAAAAAAAAAAAAAAAAAAAATTGATTCAAACTTTAAAGTCTTTGCCCGTAAATTTTCATTAATTTACTAGAATTAATATAGTCAAGTGGGGTCTTATTGGATTTGTCTCATTATATATTTTATTAATATCAAGTTTATATAATTTTTACGCATATAGAGTTGAAGTTAAATGTGTTTTAAGATGCTTTTTAGAGACCGTGAAAAATCAAATTAGGCAAAAAAAATAGGAACAGAATGAGTATTAGGAAGTGATCGATGTTTAACTTTTTCTTTAATTAGGACTGGTATATTTTTATTCTTACCAATTTTTCTTTCATTTTTCCTCTAAAATGAAAATTATTTGAGTTAAGCTTCCTTAAAACATAGATTGTGTGTGTTTCTTTTTTATTGAATATTCTTATCGTCGATTGAATTTATTTTTATTAATGGATAATGGCGAATTACACTTAGGTTGTCAAAGCTCAACTAAAGTTTTCTTCTAGTTTGTTGTTGCGAGTCGATTAAAATACTTTTCCTTTCATAATTTTGCAAACATATGTAAATTTATATTAGGAAAAATTTAGAGTAGCTAATAATCTCACCTTTGCGTGATCTGCTAAAAACACCTTAAATAATCAGGAAATAATCTCACCTTTTACCCTCATCTTCTCAAAATAAGCCTTTTTAACTTACAACCTATTTAACATGTTATTTTTTTCTTAAATATCTCTCATTCCCTCACAACCCTCATTCCTCTCCACAAACATCACCTTACTGCCATCGCTCCTTCTAGCCACCTATCCGACCACCATCCCAACCCACCCATGCCTCAATATATAATGATCGAAAGCATAATAACATCAGCAAGAGTAATGATTTGTGGGATTGCATGGTTTTTGGTTGGAGTCTCTGAGTGTCCAATTAATGAATTTGTAACTAAGTTAAATTTAGTTTGCTAAATAACTAACTAATTACTATAGTAAAGATCAATAAGAATGAAGTTTCATTGTGCATCTTTCATATGCCTCCTTAATCAGCTTCTTCTGAGATACAATTCTATGACCAGTGATATCGGTAATTCCCTTACCATCAATTCCCATCCCGTATGTTCCAATCACATTTATTACCAGAGTTAACAAGCTAGGCAAATCAAAATAAAAGAAAAAACATAATTAAGATAATGTAAATGATGATGACCATTAGTATGACGAAGATGATTATATGATGATGATGATAATGTATGATGGATGATGACCTTGGCAAATAGCTCTAAGAGCTTCAGCATCAGCAACGTTGTTGGCTGGGGCGATAAGTTGGTGAGATGTGGCTCGGAGCAACGCTGGTGTTTAGGGGTGTCCATAATTTGGATAAAAACCGAAATTCAATCCAATCCAAATCGAATTATTAATTTGGATCGGATTCAGACTCTAAATCGGATTAGATTAGATTGAAATTTTTTGAAAATTTGGAGTTTTGGATCGGATCAGACTAACCTTTTTTAGATCCAAAAAACTTAATTAAACTAACGATTATTTAAATTAATCATGTAAAAATATGTTAATAATTAATTAATATTAATTATGTAAAATTACATTTTCAATACTTGTATTAATCATGTAAAACTCTGTTTTCTAGATTAAAAATTTTATAGTTGCATTTTTATTTTTATAATCATTGTTGGCCCTAAAATTTGCAATGTATTTTAATTCAGATTTTTGGATCAGATCCAAATAACATAACCGAATTGTAATGCGGAGTGGATCGGATTGGGTGATGAGAAATTCGGATCGGATTGGATTTGAAAATTAAAAACTGAATTTTATTTCGTATCGGATTGGATTTGGCCTCAATCCAAACCGAATAGACACCCCTATTGGTGTCATGGAGAGACGTGGGAGCAACGTTGGTGTTGGTTGCGGTGGTGAATAAAGTGGGCTGCCACGTACAGAAGAGGAAAAGTAAGAGAAAGGAAGGTTTATTTTTTTCTAAATAATTAGATCAATAGAAATTGATGTGTGGCAAGTTCTCCATTTCAAACGGTTAACATACTTACAAAACCGGTCAGGGCCTGTTTTGAGAAGGTGAGGGTAAAAGGTGGGATTATTTTCGGATTATTTAAATGTGAGCTTGTTTTGAGCGGATCACGTAAAGGTGGGATTATTAGTTTCAATTTTTCCTAAATAAAATTAAAATATATACACACATAAGCATATAGTCATACATAATGCAATGAAGTTTGCAAGCTATGGTCTCAGTTCAATGTTAATGCCGATGGTCAGCTCATTAGGGTGACAAATGGTAACGTGGTTAAGAGTTCGGTTCCTAACAAGGTGGCTTCTCTTGAGATAGATTATAAATTTATAACCCTAACCCTTCTCATTTTTAGCGGAACAGATCTACTAATTTTTTTTATTCCAGTTAGTAATAAGAGGGATCTTGAACTAAGAAATATACTCTAGAAGCTAAAAAGGGCGTCTTGAGCATTTGTAATAATTGGGTTTATTGATATTCTTGGTATAACATATGCTACCACACATACAATCATACTCAATTCCATGAAATTATTTGATCTTCAAGGGGATCTTCTATAATTTTGCATGTGAGGGATTATTTATTCCTTGGTTTCCTCCAATTATTGATAACTTGATGATTTTTGGATAATAGTAGATAGAAAGAACGCTCGTAAGGATAACTATCATACAAACAGCTCCGCGAGTTCATGGAAAGCAAACTCGAGTCCATGGCTTAGAGGATATAAAATCTAAGACAGATCCTTATTGCCATGAGCTAAGTCAACTTAAAACAACACGGTTTGAAGGATCTCTCCAAGCACCTCCAAGCGAGGATGTGGATGCATATATGACATTGTCAATTAAATTGCAAAAATACATGTCAAGAACCTTTTAAGTCTATTCCACATCCTAACTAAACACTAATGGTTAGTTAGTGTTTTGGTTAGAAAACAATGGACCTTCGGCAGGTCCCTCGGATGAGTGGAGATGAACCCCAATTCGAGTGATGGCCGAATTGAGGATTTCCTGCACAGCGGAACAAACGTAAACTGGCCTCGGGGGTTGTGCCGAGGAAGGCCCCTCCGATGCTGAAGTCAGTACGGATGTAAGGTAATGAGAGAAAAGCTATGCAAGATAATTTGTTGCTTGAGGCAATTTGTGTGTATGTCCGTAATTGTACAAAAATGTGAGCTTTTATACCTTACTCCAATTGAGTGGATTGGGCTTGAGGAGCTAAATGGGCTGCCATTTAGCTGGGCCTTGCTTTACCTGACTTGGCTTTGTTGGATGGTGGGTTGAACCTTGCCTTGTGGGATTTTATTGATTTTCATATATGGACCGGGCCCAAATATAAGTTATTTGGACCCCAAACAGTTAGGAATAATATCCCAGTGGAGTTGCTAAATTGTAGGCATCTATTGAAGTGTGCCTACTTTAGCACATGTGAATGTGCTTGAAAATCGTAGGAAGATATGGAATTGATATTAAATTGTAAGAGCAAGAGACAAGTAGGGAGTTGCGAACAAGTTTTTAATAAGGAACTTGTAAACTAATCATAAATCAT